GAAAGCAGCCCGTGAGTTGGGTCCTCATTCAGCTTTGTGAAACCTCAGCCAGTAGAGGCCTGGTGCCTAGGGAGCACTCAACAGAGGTTTTCTGAATGTGTCACACTTGAGTAGTAGGAACACGAGAATGGCTTATGTGCAAAGGAATGCTGGAGGAGGCACAGGTTCTGAGCAGCTCTGATGGGATGTGGAACAGCTGAAATAGGCAGCAGGTAGGAAAAGCAGGAGCCTTTTTATATCTACCACGTACTGATATGTGACATTGCATAATGTACTTCATTTCTCTGAGCCTCAGTTTCCTTATCTGTAAAGTAGGATTAAATCATACCTATCTCACGTTTGCTCCATGTAGTTTGCCTAACAATTGTTAGTTTCCTTCCTTTCCCCCTCCTCTTTGGTGAATATTTGAGTGGACTGAGCGTTGTTAAAGATATCCTATAATATAATATTATGGTATTATATATATTAGAGTGTATATGATATGTAATAGTATATTTGATATATGTTATATATTATGTATATCGAATATATCTATTGTATGACCATTCCCTGTTTTCCAGTAGTCTGTGATTTACAGGATGTCCAATAAACAGTTATTATCTATTCTTTTCTTTGTGTTGCTTTGTATAATGCAGACAACTTGAAAGACACCCGGAACCCTGCATGTGACCAAGCTCCATGTGTAGCCAAAGCAAAGAGTGACATTTTTAGGCCTTTCAGGACCAGTACAATGTACTGTTTATATTACTCCTGCCAACATGGGATTTCCTCCTTTAACTTGAAAGAGAACTCAGCATTCAAAGGGAAAGATGCACAATAAGGAATTAGCTCCTGGATTCTAAAGAGACTATGTTTCAGTAAATTAATAGACCACATATGCAAAAAGGAGACGTTTTAATGTTCCAGTGAATATTAGTGCCTTAGAATAACTAGTGGGAATCCTCTCCTTGAGGCAAGAGGAGCTTGTGAGCAGCACATAGTCACTATGCCTCAAGTGGAGTCCCAGCCCCCAGAACAAGCCACAGATAACATGGGGTCTGCCTGTCACCCCGCATGGCTCAGAGACACACACCCGTGTGATTCCACCACATACCGCACCCTGTCTTTGTACCAGATCCTGTTGTCCATTTGGCTGGATGTTCAAATCAAGAAATCTACATCCCTCAAGGCTGGATGTAAGGCTTGAACTAGCATCCCAGGGAGGAAAGGTCAGCACTTTGATACACAGCTCCCACAAAATGGAATTTTAATGAGCAGAAGACAAACCTGATCTCCTTGCTCAGAAAGCAGATGTCTTTGTTCTTTTCATGTTTTAACATTTCACTAGTTCAGCATCTCCCCTTTTATTCTGGTCCCTCTCCTCTAAGAACTGAAGGGAGGCCGCCTGTGGTTCTCTGCACTGTTTTCTCACCTAAGATGTTTGGACTTAGGTGTTTGAGGAAACTCTCAGGAAAGGTGTTTTGAGGCGTCAAGGTTTGTTGTTCTCAAATTCTTTTTTGGTAGGAAAATAGTCAAAGTTGACGGATTAATCCAACTTGGTATTGTGATTGGGGAACGTGTGGTTTTTGGTACCTAACAATATGAACCTGTGCTACCCTTCATATTATTGATTCATTGGGGAGGGCAGTATGCAAAGGAAGAGACACAGGAGCCAGGGAGCTCTGGGAGAGTCCTAAGAGTTAAATAAAAGCCAAACCTTTGACGTATGCTTATATCCACTTTGGGAAAATATACTTGACTTAGATTCCTATTTCTAAAAATAAAGCTTTTGTTTCTGCAAAGTGCTTGATTATTAAAACTCAGATTACAAAGACAAAAATCTGGGAAACTTTTTCTTCCCCATAAACAGATACATGTGGACACCTCTGGGCACCATCCCAGGTTCTCCTTGAAATTGCTGGGAATCTGTGTGTGTGAGTGAGCAGTAGAGCATCACCTCTGAGTGTAATCATGGGGCAATATGGCATTTTAATGAGCTCTATCAGAGTGTTATTGTATCCAAAGGCCACAAAATTTCAGAAACATTTTTTTCTTTCCAGCTCTTTTATCTGCTGCCAACATAGAGCAGAAAGATAGGTATTGGAGCCCTGTTTTCAATCTTCAGGACAGACTTCTTTCGTGCTTGGTTTATTCGTTCAGCCTCTTTCATAGTGACGGAGGTGTGGCTCAAGGGAAACTCACTTATTCCCGATGCTAACCCATTGCTCAGGTAGCAGAAGCAATTTTCTCATACAGCCTCTCCTTCTTAACAGCAAAGCTGTCTCAGCAGTTCTAAAATGGTCATGTCTAAAGGCTGGCAAGCATTGTGTTCAAATTCATGTTCTGCTCTTGTCTTAGAATTATGTCACAACAATGAAAAACGCTGGGTTTAGGGGGAAAGTGGTGTGTGTCAGAGACTGTAGTCTATCGTGGGTGGGTATTTTCTCCATCATCAAAGCCTGAGTTAAAGGAATATCACAGATGCACGGTGCATTGGACATGGAGCACATGCATGCATTTAAATCACGTATATCTTACTTTTTTACTGATGTAATTGTGAAATATGTTCTTTTTGCATTCATAATTAGGGGGTGGAACAGATGGTGAAGGCTTAGTTTAAAATAATCTGTCATTAAAATAACCTAGCCTACTGGTAATTCTTCACTCTAACTGGAGTTAGGTCATAGGAAAAGAGTTTGGGGTGATTTTTATTTCTCTTCTGCATTGGAATGTAGAAGAAAGAACCACAAATTTCAAGTAGTTATATATATGAGAATTGTCCCTATAAGGGCAGTTTAGTAAGACTTCAGTCTGCGTGATTTGGCTGCAGTGGAATATGCAGAAAAGAAGAAAGCAGAGACAAAACTACTTTGACAAATATAAATCCATTTAGCACAATGCATTAAACATTAGTATACCTTCAATCATGAAGCTCTAGTTAGTTTCATACCCTGCAAGGAAATAACCTCATCATTTGACAAATACTGTTAGAAGCACTCAGCTTTGGGGGTTAAGAAACTATGCCTTCCACTTTATATGTTACGCTGATGTCAGGGGATATAAATTATAATTACTGGCATTATTATTCAGAGATGCTGTAGCTCCTGACTTGTGTATCCAAGCCTCACTCCTCATAGACTTACTGGATGTGACAAAGGAAACCTCCTGTCAGCCCTGTTGGGATGGCTAAGAACTGGTTTTAGTAATAAGAAAACTGTCTTGATAAATCAGATACTTGCATGCGTTTAAAAACGTCTGTTTTACTGTTTCTTCTAAGATTTTGTTCTCCATCTGCTTTGAGGAAAGCAGAAAGATTTCAGCATGGCTTTATAATAAATCTGCTCAAGGAAGGACGAGCATTAACATTTGTGTAGGTTCTTTTTCATCTTAATCCAACCTTAGTTAATAATCAGAAAATTCTACATAGTGAGTAAGAAGATGTAATTAACCCTTTGACCCCAGAATCTTAATTGGCGCCTGTTGAAAACAGTGGGCAGTTAAAAAAAAATTAAAAAGTAGCCTGCAGTGATTGAAACAGCTCAGTATATAGTAGCTTTCTTGATTCAAAATTTTTAAAAATTCCACAGAACTTTCAGATTAATCACATTTGGTTCCCAAGACTAACTAATTGAATGTTTCCTTCCTCCTCCCACCTTTTAAAATTGAGACACCCACATTAAACCAATATTGATTTACTTTTCTCTGAAAACTTTTCTAAGCAGCAAAATACAGCTAACTATAGACAGGGGTGACCCTGAATCAGAAGGTAATGCCTACATGAAGAGTGACTTTGCCAGTCTGCTGTAGGCCTGGTTTCATATCCCATTCTTTATCTGAAAGGTAATCGAACCTGGGTTCTGGACATTCATCTCACTCTATAGATAGAATTGACTGAAATGATAAAAACAAAAGTGAAAAATATGGTTAACTAACCAGTTCTGTTTTGGTTTATTTTTTACCTCTGTGATGATAAACAACTAATCTGACTAGTTGTGTTCTTCCCCCACCAAATTGGCTGTTATTTTTAATTGAATTGACTGGATGTTTTGTGTCATGTAGACATAGACTCATTTTAATCTCACCAGGAAATTGGAACATGTGTCAAAGCTTCTGCTTCTGCCAAGCAAAACTGGCCAGTTCTTAGGTCGCCGCTGCTCAATAGCATCAGATGTTTGGCCTCCAGATATTTATATTTTGTGCTACAGTGCCCAAACCTCCTCTAGTATTTTAGTAAATACGTGAGAGATGAACCTAATGCTGAAAAAATCACAGTCCCCTTTAGTGAGAAAGTAAAGGATGTATGTATGTGGCAAATGAATAGCACTGGATATTTTGGAGGACTGTGAAGGAATCCAGTCTAACTCTGATCTTCCAAGTGTTAGGAGATACCCCAGATGATGTTCGACATCTGTGGCATCGGAATCTGAAAATACTGTAATAGCTCCATAAGCAGGACCCTTGGAGAAAATAATCTCCATCCTTCTTAGTCATTCGAGCATGTGTGATATAAGGGAAAGAGCATTAGGCTGGGAGGTAGGACTGGACTTAGTAAGTCTTGGCTGAGCAGTTGTTAGGTACTGGCTCCATAAAGATGAATAAGACATAGCCCCACTGCTCAGAAACTGTCTCCTTGGGAATTGATTAAGCCAACCAGGACCATACAATGTCATAAATAGTTTAATAATATTATGGGAGTGCAGCAGATTTAATTCTGGCTCTGCCATCAGCTGGCTCTATGATCTAAGCCTCTTTGTGCCTTAGTTTCCTTACCTGTAAAATGAGGAATTGGACTACAGGAGATTGTCTCTATGTCAGCTCCATGAGTCCTTTCTTCTTCTCTCAGTCAGCCTTCCAGCTGTCACTTTTCCCCATAGAATTCTCCTGTGATCTCTCTCTCTCTGTCCCTCTAATGTGACAGTGACATTTTAAGGTTGAGAAGATGGCTACACAGCTGTCTGTGATTGTATGCCACGCATTGCTATTAAGTTGATTGGAAAACGTACCCAGGCCCTTTTCTCCAGGGGGAAGATCAAGGGGAGAGTCTTGATCCTCATGAATCATCCTCAGGAGACATCGTGCTTGAGGTAAAGACAGGTTGAAATGAGATCCTTCCCAAACTTCTACACAGGATACTTCTCTCCCTTTGCACTGGTTCAAAGTAAGGTGCCACCATGCAGCACCCTAAGCATGAAAGGCTGTGTCTCACCAGGCTCCAGAAGGTTTGGCAGTTTTGTCAAAGGTAAGGAGCCCAGTAAGCAATATTTTGTTCCCTGTCCCATAACTGGTTCCAGGGGAAATTTTACAGAGCAAAGGGGACAAGGTGACCTCTTGTGGAAGTGGCTTATGAACTCTACTGTCATCCCACTTCCCATGTGTCTCCTACTCCTAAAAATAGGATTCTATCATTTGAACAAATCGTTGAAAAACAAGTGATGATTTTTAAGAATTCATAGGCTATCTCTTAGTATAAATATTTTACCTTCAGAAACGCTGAGAAAATTTGTCTTTTCATTAATTTACACATGTCAGTTAGAGAATCTTTATTTTTGGTGGAAGATGGTATAGGTATTCAGTCCAGCTGTCAGAGTTCGAATTCTAACTCCATCACAAACTAGGGACAGGCACGTTGCCTAACTTCCATGAACCTCACTTTCCTTGCATATAAAAAGTAGATGATAATATAATTACCTCAAATGGTATTCATGAAAATTAAAAACGACAGTACATGCAAACTGCTTAGTACATATTGCTTAATAAATGTAAGCTATTATTATTGTACTGTCTTGACCAAAAGCTCGTCTATCATGTAATTTGCTTTTTTGTAGAGCAATACAATGTGACTTTTGAATTGTTTCCAGAACCCACTAAGAGGAGGAGATTGAGGGCTACCCACAGTTTCTGACCAGTGGGCTGTGAAAACAGGTCAGGAAGCGTGGAATGCAAATTGTGTATATACATATAAATACATGGACACACACATTCTTATATACATACACCCATAAATATGTATATTTCATGTATACATATATAGCTCCAAAAATATTTTAGTATTTTAGGAGACTGAAATTATTGTTGAGATTTGAGGCAGTCTATTTTTCTAACTGAATTTTACATGTTTCTTCCACGTTTCTACATTTAAAAGTTATGTCATTAATTTAGTGTTGCCACACACCTTGTTCCCATTGTAGGTTTCCTGTATTTCCAAGTTCACAGCCTTTGTAAATACCACCAGTCTTTAACATTTCTTTTCCTGTGCAAGCAGTACTTGTGCAGTCTACCTGGTTTTGCATAAATAAAGCAAAACAAAAGACATGAGGATGATGGAGGGTATAAAATGCACTTGGATGGCAAGAATTTGAAACAAGTTTATTCTCGATTTGAGTGGTATATTGCAGTTGGAGTCCATGATGATTTACACCATTCATCAAACTGAAAATACAGCCCTTCATTTGGAAAGTGGACTAGGGTTTCCGGGGCTACAGATGATCTGTAGCATCCTTGGTTTTCCCCCCTTCTCTTGTTCCATTTCAGGAGTTGTAATAGAAACTAGATCACAATAAAACTTTTAAGACAGAGTTTTGCAAAAAAGGATTACAGTCTGTAAGGTTTCAGCCTATAAACATTCACTATAATGTATTGACTTTTCCTATTTGTTCTAACACAATAGGCACTGGGAGTGAGGAGGGCATAATCCTTTATTAATTAGGAAATTATTGATGTCCATAGTAGCTCAAGTGGTGATTTTACTTGCTCTTCATATAGGAACCCTTTTTTCTCTTGTTTCATTAGCATTTCCATTTCTGTTCAGCTATTTAATGGAGAATCTTGCTGATTTAATCTCGGTAACTACTGAATCCAAAAAAATAAAGGCAACATCTCATATAATCAGCATGACCTGATTTTAGACATGAATGTAATGTATCTTGATCAGAATGACAGAGACCTGAGGAAGTCCCTGAAATAAAGGAAAGCATGTAGTCTCAATTCAGACCTTTAATTTATTCGTATATAATGCAGTAGTAAAAGATCTTAGGACTTCTGTTAAATGTGAAGGAAAAAAAGGGTCTTAAATTTGGTGTGTGTTGCTTTGTATCAGATGCCTTCTTAATTAAATCTCCATCATATATAGTTATTAACCTATTTGTATATTTATTTTTTCTGCAGTCTCTGGATGGCTTTGTATTTGCACTAAACCAAGAAGGAAAATTTTTGTACATTTCCGAAACAGTTTCCATCTACCTAGGCCTCTCGCAAGTAAGTACAACAATTTAGATTCTTCATGGTGGTTGTGAAAGCTCCTTCAGCCTCATGCTTTTCCTTCCTCGATGGATATTCTGTATAGCATGGATTATCAAATTTATTCTTTAATGGCTCTACTTGACTCTTCTCAGAAAGTCAGTGAGAAAATAGTGTGTCAGTTTGGCACGTTCGGAATAAACTTGCGCTCAAAAACTTTAGTACCCCTCCCCCCTCCAAGGATCATTATTAATTTATTGAGAACAAATGAAGTTTCTTCCCTCCGTTGTTTTGAACTTTGAAACCTCTGTGCCCGGTAGGAGAGGGACACACTAATAGTGCTTCCCTTGTGTCCTATTACTGGATGTTTATGGAGTACCCTGCATTATCCTGGGAGCTGACACAATGACAGGGAGTCATCTGGAGTCAAGAAACGCTGAAAGAGACCATTAAAATGTGTTGCAGGGAGGGTTCCAGCAAGGATATATTTTGCTGCCTTTGCAAATGCTTCCTAATGCTGAAAAACAATTTCATAAAGTAAGATCGCTTTTCATTATTTGTAGTTTAATTATCACATGTGTCCGTCAGAGGTTAAAAGAAAAGAAGAGGGAGGCAGAAGGCGCAAGGGACAAAATCCTAGATTTCTTGATATTCCCTTGGAACACAAAAATTTTACTTACGTTGGATTCCAAGACGCGGGCTGCATCTACAGAATGCCAAAATACCCTGCAGAAAAGTTTGCAATTCAACTAATTATCCAGATGTTTTCTCCATAAAAATGCTGAACATCTGGATATTTGTGCCCACACAGGTGATTGGCTGAGTGTGACCCTTTCATCTGGTGTTTTGGCACAAGGAAAACACAGCCTTGGTGGGAGGGATTTTGTGTGTGTGTGTGTGATGGTCTGCCAAGTTGGATAATCTACTTCTCATTTGGTTGCCCCTTGGAGCTAAAGATGGAGATAAGATTTGTCTCTCTCCTCTTAAGCAGAACCCACCCCAGACTCATTGCTTCTGAAAGTTGGCACCTCTCTAAGGAGGCATCCAGCATGGCTGGAACCTTTTGGCCATTAGTGAGTTTGCTGGGTAATAGCTAAATCAAGAAAGACACTGGGAAATAATGAAGAGAGATATTTGGCATCTGAGGAAGGTTGGGGGAGGAGGAGAAATGCTGCCAAATTTGATTATTTACTGTTGAGAATCCAAGCAAGGGTCCATTAACTCTTCCTTGAAGAACATGCAAGCTATTGGCTGTGGTGTATGGAGCAATTTCTATTTTATGTAGATTTTAGCAAACCGAACGATAGAAACTGGGCTATTGTTAACTCAATATTAGTACCCTTGTATCTTGTTGACGTCTCTGGTTTTGTAATATCTTTTAATAGACTTCAAGCCTTGTCTTAATCTATTTAGGACCTAATATTGAGAATCTCCAATTTTGGAATTGGTGTGCCACCATGTCAATACTTATGGAACTGGAAACACCGCTATTTGTGGTTCTGCAATGCCCATAGTCATCTGTTTTATGTAGAGTATCCAACAAAGTTTAATAAGCCAGTGAAGAAGAAGGATGAATAATTAGTTTAAGCAGGTAAATGCTAATTAGGGAACTCCTGAAAAGCATCCATTATGTACTAGCTCAAAACACATTTTACAGCCCTGCTTAGTGGTGTAATCCAAATTCTGTCAAGGCAACTGCATTTTCTGTAATTGAGATGTGTATGTTTGCTTTGCATAACAGATGGCTCTGTATGCTTAGACTGATAGCTAGGAAAATAATAATTGCATTATTCTGGCCAAAAGAATATTAGCTCTTGGGTTTTGGCCATTTCAGTCAGTCCTCCTGCCAGCACAGCATATGCACATATATGGATTGGATTTTCAAGGAAATTGATGCATCTGGAATAGTGTGGCCATCTGAAATATCATCTGTTCAAGAAAAATTTGGCTTTAACCCTGTGCTGGTTTCTCCTTAAAAGCAGTGTATTTCACTGCTTCTCTACTGTAACAGTAATCCCATCTTTTCCTAAAATCTGAGACAAATCATTGAGGTTTCTGCAGGATAAAGCAGCTGTGTAGGCATGATGCAGTAGTTGGCACCTTCTGTACAGTAGTTCCCTGCCTTTGTCTGTGATGTATGTGAAAGTGCATATCAATAGCCAGCATCTTGACTGACCCAGGGCTGGCCGCTGGCCGCAGGGCGCTCTTGCCTTCTGTGGTGGGTGTGTTCAGTGTTGCCCAAAATGTCCAATATGCAGGTAGAGGCTCTGAGGTACGAGACAGAGGTCTTCATCTGGAGGCATTATGCAGCTGAAATGATGAAGGGCTAATCACTAGAAAGTGATTTTTGCATATACCGAGGTATTATTTAGAGTTGAAAGCTAAAGTTTAAGAATAGTTCTGGGTTAACGTAAAAATAATCAGGTAAGAGTGGTGTGTGTTTTTAAATGCCAAAGATTGAGGGGAGAAGGGGGCAGGCGGCCGGGGAACATACGCTAAAACTTTGGGAGAGGATTCCCAGCCCTGTTAAGGTTCTGAGTCCTAATAGGGTAATTGAGGATCCCTTCCCAAGTTGCTTCAGTGCCCTCTGAGTTGCAGGGGTGCAGGGTGCACATGGGTGGCGTACAACGTAAAATGTGCTCAGAGTTGCTCACTTAATAGCTGCTGTTTTACACACACACACCCCACCTTAATTAAATGCAGACCAAACACTCTGCTCGTGTTCTACAACTTTGGCTCGGTGGTTATTCCATCAAACTCTAGTTTAAGTGATAAGTGATAGGGAGTCTGTAAAGTTAGGGTCCCACCTTTCCTTTTTAAACAGTTTTGTTAATGGCAGACAAGGGGTCATTGTATGGTCAAAGGCTTACCCGGTGAAACTGTTGAGGAATATTGGGAGCATGTCAGTGTTTTAGAACCTAGCCGTGTCTGCCTTTGTAACTCTCAAGATATTCCTTCCTCAGTTTTATTTTCTTTCAACATGTAAATAAATATGGTGGCTTTAAAACCAGCTTATGTTCGGGAAAGAATTAGGATTCTTTTTTGGCTCATGAGGAAACTAAGGAGAGAAACTTCTACTGAGTTCTGTTGTGTGGCATGAATACAGAGATAGTCAGAGTGCATTTTTCTTCTGCATCCGTTGTAATGGCCCCTGGTGTCCAGGGTGTGTGCGTGCCAGTTGTTCTCTTTAAAGTCTTTTCATGGTGCCATGTTGATGGGAATGAAGTGATCTATGACGATGTCTGAACCTCTTCAGCAGCCCTTTTGACTTTGCCAGAAATCAATGTTTAACTTAATATCCAACATGTGGTTTTAGGTTGGAGAAATATGCACTGTTGACTTGCTTCCCTGGGTAAAAGTGATTCCCATTTACTCACCATAACGCTTTATCTTAAAGGAAGATCCCCAAATATCGATGCTGAGTTTGGTTTGCATGGAGATTAAATGACTTCTTATAGCTCGTGATGGCATTCAGAGCTGCTGAAGACAACTCTGCTCTCCTGCTAGAATGGAATTAGCAGAAAGGACAATGAAGGAAGAAAACACAGTAGATTACCTAATACTGCAAATGTAGCAATGAAGTGTTGCCAGTTTTTATGAAATCTCTTCTAACATGAAGGGGCTTAATCACCAGAGAATCCAAAAGAGACTTTATATGCTAAATAAAAGGCATTTCTAGTTTGACGTAGCATTTAAAACTTAGGGAAATATTTACTTGTTGGCTTATTCCCTCCTCTTTTGACAAAAGGAATAGCTTATATAAACATATACAATAAAAAATAATGGCAAAATAGAACTAGGATATAAGGAAAAAAAGATAAAAGTAGGTAATCTGTTACCATGTAGTAGAAGAACACAGTAGAGGTTTATAAGAAGAGATATAAATGGTCTGATAGAGCTTTAGATTTAGCTATGAGTTTCCTGGTAACCAAAGCAAAAAGGGAAATACAGCCAACTATCAAAAGTAAGGAAGCATCACTTCTTAAGGAAAGTGAAGTCTTTCTGGAAGTGAAATAGAAAAATAAATCTCCAATACAATTCCTGTAGGGGCTGACATGTGGATCATGACGTATTGATTTGTTTCCATTGGAGTCCACAATCAGAGAAAGGTTGTAATGACATTTAACAAACATTAACACACATATTGCAAATCTTATAAGCAGGCAGAAGACACTTATCCCTTAATATGTTGGTATGCCAAAGATCATTTTGAGAATGATGTTCTGGCATACAGGCCTTACAATAACAATTGACTAGTTTGATTGTTTATGTGCTTTTCAATCACCTTTCCCTCATCCATACACAAATCCTGCATTTTCTTTTAAATACTGATGAAATATTCAACATTATAATTTCCAGAGTCAGAGGACATGAGTCTCAGTTAACCAGAGGATAAAAGTAGACTCATGTCTTCTGAAAGCGTTTTTCCTTGAAAGTGAGGTAAGAGATGATGATTCTGATGCACACCCGTGCCAGCAAAATGTTTGCAAGTTAACGTGGAGTGCTATTTAAAATAAAATGGGATCTAGAGCAAACTGGGAAATTAACAGATTTTACACTGAAATGTTATTAGAATGTACCCTGCAGCTAGCTAAGCCCTCTCTTGCAGTACCTTCTAATCACCCGCACAGCCTGCAGTGCCCAGCTGCGTAGGAGTCACTTCCCTTCTCACCAAGTCCCCATCCTGGTAGAAGATAACTTCCTTGCTGTTGTAAGCCACCCAGGAGGTAGCTGCAGACAAGGTCACGAATTGGCTTGTTTCAAGGCCACTTGCTGAAAGGAGCAGGGTGAAGGTGAAAAGGCGTAAATGGTTGTTGTAAATTTGGTCTTTTGTTTAAGCCATGCAGATACAGTTGCCATAAACTCCTTTCCCCATCCTGTTGTTCATCTCCATATTTTAGATTTCACTGCATTTGTTGTATAGAATGGCAAATAAAATTACAGCTACAGCACACAAGTACAAGGTCAAATAAATGACAGAGCTCAGTCTATTTGTGAAGCTATTCTGAAAGGGGACC